GGGAGCGCGGCCCGTCGCGTCCGCTGCTGCCCCGGCTGCCTGGACTCGCACCGAACATCGTGTGGTGGGGGCTGAGGGATCCTCGCTCAACCGGCATTGGGCAGGCGTTGAGCGAATTCCCGAGGAGGGATAATGACAAAATAACGCAGGTCAAATTCTGTTCTTTCTTTTATACATGTAATCTCACAGGAGTTGGAGGGGCAGCATAAACATTCGTGGGCGCAGGCTTGTCCTGGTGCTAGTGACAGCACCGTCACGCTGAATTAACCTCTTGGGACAATCTTACCTGCAGTCATTTCTGAACGCTGTATTGAACCACAGATTACTTCTTCAAATTAATGCTTGCAAAATAGCTGGTGATTATTTTTCAGTTGCACGTTTAACTCCGCCGCCTCCTGGCTAGATCATGGTTTCAGCCAACCTCCTTGGCCTCCCTGTCTTGGTGCTGTCATCATGGAGAACGCTGGCTCACCACTGCTTCTGTATGGCTCCCGTTACTGGCATTCCTCTGCCAGCCACACCAACACTGCCCTTATCCCCATCACTTAGCTTGCGTTCATACACGGTGAGAAATCCGTTTCGTTACATCTTCTCATCTAGACCCTGTCTAGCTGTGGTTTCTTTCCCTGCAATATCTCAGTTTATCTCGGTTCCAACACCTAAAATCATTTTCATTTAGACTCAGGGGTAATTTATCTACCTTCATCACTTACTCCTCTCCATTTCTTCCTTTCCTATTGATCCAAACGTGTAGTGCTCTCCTGTGCTGGCTTTCCAGTGATTCTGGTTCTCCATCATGTCAAATTTACATTTATTTGTTCTCACGAGCATAACTGCACTTGTAATATAATCTACTATTGTTGCTCCCACTCTTTTTAGTCTGGCAGAAATGCCAGCCTTGATGCTCGCCTTCATTTATCTCTCTGAAAAAGGCTTTTGCCTCCTTGCTTCTCCTCTGTTTAAGGAGGAAGCTTAGGCAAATTGGCTATGACTCTCCTCATATGAATGTCTTCTCAAAAGTCACCTCTTCATCAATGTCTTTGTTGATGTACATCTTCACAGGACAGTGACAGATTATGTACACTGTTTCCACTACATTTCCTCAGTACTTGCTTAAGCATCTCTAGCTTATTTTTGCTTTATTCGGAATGAATGTAGAACAGGTAAAGGCACAGCTTCTGTGCCTGTGCTACAACATGAGATGCTCCTTCCTTTCTGTTGGCTTGGGTAAGCAGAACTCCCTTCCTCACTGATGGGGCAGAGAAGGCTCCATTTTCTCATTTGACACCCACCTTCCAGTTCTAACAATGCACCGAGGCACGAACTTCTCAGAAGGAAAGAGAAGAAATTACATCAACTGAATATGACAAAGTAGCATGTGTAATGCTCTGCAAGCCAAACCGCTGCACTGTCTTCTCTTGTGGCTTTATCTCCAGGTTGGATCTGAAGGACGAGAAGCCAAATGACAAGCCAGGCCCATGCAGAACGTTCCTTACGGCTGACAAGCTATTGCCAAAGCCCACCTCTGGGAAGTCTCCAAGAAAGGATCAAAACATTGCTGTGTGATGTCATCCACTGCTGCCAGAATCTGCAGCTGAATCTAACTTTTGTATCTGCTGACAGATCTAAAAGAATCCGTGCTGGCACTAGAGCACGTCTCTTTACCTCTTCCTAGGTCAATGAAACTAGCAGAAGTCTCCCTGTACTTGTGCTGTCCTCCATCCTTGAAAAAATGGTAAGCAAGATCCAGGGAGATCACTGATGAATGTATCCAGCATAGACAGAGGAGGATGTAAGGGAGGAGATCCTTACATCCCCCTGCTGCCAAGAACATCTGCTCATACATTAGAAACTTAGAAATCAGAAACTACTTAGAAATAAGCAAATAAAGGTGATTATTGCCATGGCAGTATTAAAAATATATATACCTATGCACATCTGTACAAAATTCAATTTTAATGATAGTGTAGACTATTAAATGTATTATTCAGTCTTCATTAGCCTGAATGCCACATGTTTTCCATCTTTTAATTCCTCTGCAATATGATTCTATGGCAAAATTTTCTCTCTTTAGCACCAGGCTGAGACAAATCTCTTCATGCTATTGTGCCCTTTAGCAATACTGTCAAATTCAATCATTCAGGACTCATGAGTCTTGCACTAACATGAAGAGATTGATTTGAAAACCGTGGGACTGAAGTTCTTTTTTCTGTTTTTCATTTTGCATTTCCATACCTTAACCATTTTACAGGAAAGCTGAGATTGCCAGCTTTGCTCTCACATGCAGATGTGCACTTGCCGATGCTACGCAGCCCTAGAATAATGCGCTCGGATGTGGCAGTGACTGTCTCTGCCAGCAGTTTCTGATTGGTTGTATCTGAAATGTCATGAATTACTGTGGTATCAGAAAATGTACCAGAACATAGCAGCCTCTACAGCCTATTTAAAGGGATTTAAAAATAGATATAAAAATGACCTCAGGCAAAGATGCAGAGAAATTCTTGACCTTTTATCAACTGTCTCTCATTCGAACAAAGTATGTTCTAATAAAATCAATAGAAGACCTATATCTAAGGAGTGTAGGCTCTCCTACTAATGGAAAAGTTTGGAAAGCACTGATGAGTCAGCTGATGAGTTTGCTGTAGCAAAAAGGGTTCATGCAAACTTTGACTTACAGACAGATCGCAGATGTTACTGGTGGCAATTTTTACCTGCATGTGCAAATTGCCGAGGGTGATTAAGGCATGGCATGCACAGTTCTGATGCTCACGTTGCAAGACGGATACTGCAAAAATGAAGTGAGCATAGAGAAGAGCTACAGAATGATCTGAAGTCAGAGAAAAAGCCAAGTAATTGAAGAACTAAAAATCTTAACCTGTCCACTGGATCGAAAAGATTGAAAGGTGAGTTGACAACAGCGCATACATATATG